CCCAAGCCCGTGGCTCACAGGCACGTCCCGCCCGCCCTAATTGGGCCAAATCCCGCCTGGTCTCCTTAGCGCGCCGCCCGCCCGCTGCCGTCGCCGCCGACGCCACCCCCCAAGCAATCCATTCATTCAACCTCCCTCGACCGTCAACCACAACGTCGTCAACCACTTCACGCCTCGCTCATCCCGGTTCTCCTCACGGTGCCGTCCCCGCCCGACGTATCCTCCAACCTGCCGCGCGACCGAAAAGCTGCTGTTTCCGCCGCCTTGGCCACCGTCGCAGTCCTCCTGCTTCACCAGCCACTGCCCCTGCACATCGGCTCCGGCTCGCCCTTGGCTGCCGTCACCCATACCGCCTCGCTCGACTCGCCCGTTTCGCATCGTGAACTCCCACAGCACGCTTTCCCCTGCCACGAACCCCGAGCCACCGAGCTTCTACCATTAGGGAATGCGCTTCCGACCTCGACAATAGTGCCACGCGGTCCACGAGGGTACTGCGCAGGAGACGCAGAGAGCTTCTGGCGTACCCAAGCCCACCTCACCACGTCTCTGGAAGGCATCCACAAGCACCCAACGGCAAAGCCTAGAGCCATCTACCATCTAATTCCGCTACGACTTCACCGCACGCCCGCCTTTTCTCGATCGACAGCCACCTCGGCGCACGAGCCTGGTTCCATTCTGAGCAGCCCGCCCACACCGACTGCTCCTCCCCATATCTCGACGCCAGCCACCCCAATCCCCGACTCACCATCCCGGCCCTGCCCGTGGCAATGCAGCCAGAAACCGCGGGTCCGTTGGCAGCAGGCGCCTCCTCCAAGCGGAGTATTAGCGATACCAGGACACCAACCATGCCGAGCCCAGTCAGGCCGGCCACGCCCCCTCCTCCCTCCGACCACTTTCCCTCTGAAGCTAGACAAAGCGGCGATGTCGACAGCTCCAGGAGAATACGCAGCCGTACAAGGGCCAGTGATGCTGCTGGGAGGTCAGCCGCTATCGACGCGCAAGCCGTCGATAGCGCTTTGTTGAGGGAGCTTCAACGCCCCCATCGAGAGAGCACGCCGGGCGCTAGCCCCCATCGCAAACGCCAAAGAATAAACGGTGACCGGTACAGGCCCTTTGTCATCGAGCATATGAAGCGAATCAAACACTGACAAATCACCAGATTCATTCCCTCTCGAGCCGGACAAGACCTCCAAGCCAGCTTCAGTCTACTTCACGACGACGGGTCACCAGCTACACCCTCAAGACAGAAGAAGCGTACCCCACATGGCGAACTTCATTTTCAGAAGAGTGAGTTTACTAACCCCGAGTCCCCATCAAAGACGGCGGAAGCTAATTGCCATGATTAGCCGAGGAAGCAAACCGCACGTTTTCCACCCTGCTTCGGGCTGAGCTCTTCGACAGTTCGGTACCTCAAGCGTCATCCCCAGCGTTGACTTCTGACAACGCGCTTCCGGCGTCCGTCCAGACACATACGAATAATGGCACACGCGCGCACACGCCGCCTATCAACAGCTCGGCCCCGTCGCTTCCTTCTTCCTTGACCCCGTCTACGCCTCACAAGAACCTCTTCTCATACATGTCCCCACGCCACCACAACCACGTGGCAGGCCACCCTACGCCCACCAAAACACCCCAAAGTCGTCACGGGCCTAATCTGGACACCAGAGCCGAAATATACAGCCTATCGCCAGTCCGTTTTGGTAGCCAGCAGCTGCTTCTGAGCCCCCGAAGACAGCCTCGGGCAGTGAGCAAGGTACCATACAAGGTTTTGGATGCCCCCGAGCTCGCCGACGACTTCTACTTGAACCTTGTGGACTGGGGAAGCGCGAATGTGCTGGGTGTAGGCCTGGGGTCCAGCGTCTACATGTGGAACGCCCAGACAAGCAAGGTCAACAAACTATGCACACTCGAGGACGATACTGTCACCAGCGTCTCGTGGATTCAGAAGGGTACCCACCTGGCCATAGGCACCGGGAAGGGTCTGGTCCAGATTTGGGATGCCGAGAAGACGAGGCGATTACGCACGATGACCGGGCACACGGGACGCGTCGGGTCGCTGGCCTGGAACACACATATCCTGACGTCAGGATCTCGTGACAGACTGATATATCATCGAGACGTCCGGGCTCCCGATCAGTGGCTCAGGAAGCTTGTTGGACACAAGCAGGAAGTCTGTGGACTCAAATGGAACTGCGAGGATGGCCAGCTTGCGAGCGGCGGAAACGACAACAAGCTGATGGTCTGGGATAAGCTCTCGGACACACCGTTGTGGAAATTTTCGGATCACACCGCAGCCGTAAAGGCCATCTCGTGGTCTCCGCACCAACGAGGGCTACTCGCTTCCGGCGGAGGCACGGCTGATCGACGCATCATCTTCCATGACACGGTCAAGGGGTCTGTCATTAACGAGATTGACACGGGTAGCCAGGTTTGCAACATTGCCTGGTCCAAGAACTCGAACGAGATTGTGTCCACACACGGGTACAGTCAGAACCAGATTGTCGTGTGGAAGTATCCTTCGATGACGCAGGTTGCGAGCTTGACAGGACACACGTATCGTGTTTTGTACCTGGCTATGAGCCCAGACGGCCGCGTGGTGGTGACTGGGGCCGGGGATGAGACGCTGCGCTTCTGGTCCGTCTTTGGCCGTCGGCCAGGGGCCCGAGAAGAAGGGGAGAATGGTGGTGGACGACTGGCGGACTGGGGCATCATTCGATGAAGGCCGTATCCGTTCTTATCGACACCACTATTCAAGGGCAAATGGCACACCGGGTTCAGCAGATGTTTGGCACAGTGGACGCCCTCAGTGCCCACTGATCCAGGCCGAGAAGCGCAGAACAGCGCAGAGCCTACATTTTACCCTTCGCTCGGACAGTGTGGGCTAGACGGAGGCACCCGAGGTGGCCCGGAGAACTTCAGTGTTGACTGAGTGTCGGGCGATTGGGATACTGCGGGCTAGGAAAGGGGTTTTGGGGACTGCACGGGGCAAATAGCGTCTGTGTAGCGATTATTGTTGGCATTTTATCCGGGCATAGCGCAGTCCCAGAGCAGATTACGCTTCTCAACGCAAGAATCAATCTACTCTTTACATCTTGATCACTGCATTTGAACGCATCATGAAGTCTACGTACATTGCAGACGCCGAACTCTACAGAAGACTCCACGAAGGCAGCTCGTGATCGGTTGCCGGCGCTTTCCTATGGGCGGTAGATGCATTCACGCGCTCAAGAGACCAAGTGCATACCAAATCAATCATGCAGAAAACGAAGATATTTCGTCCAACAGGGGCCAGAAACGACAACACCGGAACACCTCTCGCCCAAGGATACTAGTCGCCGAGCTACCAAAACGCGAAACAGGTCGATCGCACGTCGGCGCAGCCGATCGACTCTCCGTGTGTCGATACGAGCTTCCAGCCACGACTGACACTCCCAAGAAGCCACCGTTGTTGTCGTCAACGTCGAGGTATCAAGAATCAAGTCCATCCCCCGCTCTCCGCTCACGAGCGACGTCTCTGGCTCCGCCATCCACGCCAGTCGCTGAAACGGAGATGGTTTCGTCCAGAAGCGGAATGTTGTCAAGAGTTGGGTTGCGACCCTTAACGCTGTCCCAGCCAGGTGTTTTGTTTCCAGCAGGGGTTTCGTGGCTGGTGTCCGCAACCGCATCGACGGACTGTGTGGCCAGTCCGGCGGCCGCTTGGGCCGAAGGCGCATCGGGGTGTGGCGTGATGAGCGGCGACTGAAGCATGAGCTCCGGTGTCGTCTGCCATTTCAGCACCTCCGCTTTCATAGCCTCCAGCTCCTTCTGAAAACGCTTGCCAAAGACGTCAATGTAGTAGGTTGAGCCGTTGTAAATACTCCACGCGAAGACCACCAGGAGGAATGCGGAAGAGGCGTATCGGCTCATGAACCACAAGGGACAGGGGAGCATGGTAAGCACTGCATAGCAGTACTGTATCAGCATGAAGGCCGACTCTTGTAGAGCATCTGGGAGGGACAAGACGACCCTGCCAATCCAAGTCTTGGAGTACGAGCGGCGCAGCCAGGTGAACGAGGTGGGCCGACCTGCGGCAATCTTCTCCCTACGGCGGACGGTGATGAAAAAGTAGTAGCTTAGCTGCCAGAAGGCGTATGGCAAGGTGCTCCAAGCCAACATGGAAACGACGTTGGCATACGCTGTGGGCGAGCCCGGGGGCGAGTGTTTGATGGTCCAGATGGCCGGGAACCGTTCCTTCTGTAGCGCCTCGGGATATAGATGAACAATACAGTGCAAGGTGGCGCACGGCATGATGTGAATGAAGAGAGAAGTGACCTTGTCGAAGCTGTGAAACACGAGCGAGTTGCGCCACATGATGATGGCGACGGCATTGTTGCCGAACGCCAGGCAGTAAGCAGAGGTGAAGAGCCGCTTCGAGCCCGGGAAAATCCATATGCTGAGACTCAGGAGCACATTGACAAAATAGCAGAGATCGGCCAGGAAGTAGTGATAGCCACGCCGGTGGTACGTGAAGAACCTGATGGGCATGAAATATACAAGCTGTGCCGTGTACCAGATGTGAAAGTACTGCGGGAAGCCGCCGATGAGGTATCCGCTGATGAAGATATTCATGACACCGCATATGAAGGATATTTTCTCCCGCAAGCTGATGGCCTTGGTGTCGTTCCACTGCCTGCCGAGCTTGTCGACGCGCTGGCGCATGCGCTTCCTGTATCGATCAAGTTGCTCATCGGCCGACGGGACGCGGCGACGCCACTCTTCCACCATGCGATCGCGTGCCAGCTGAGTCTTGGACTTGAAGGCGTCTCTGGAGCGGCGCACCTTGTTTGTCTGCGCCGAGATGCCCTTTTGAAGCTTCTCCAGCTGATGTGGTAGGGCAAAGTTGTCGAGCAGGTCGAGAACGGTCAGGCGGTCGAGGGGCGGCAAGGGGTCCCAGTCATCCTGGTAGGAGCTGCTACCAGAGAAGGATGGATTCCGCGAAAGCCTGGGGCTTTTGGGTGTCGTGGCGCTGAGAGCAGGGGATTCGAGTATAGCGCCCTCGGGCGGCGACGAGCTGAGGAGGGAGGATACATCTTGATCGGGGACGCTCCCCACGTGAGCTTCTGCGGGATCTTCATCCATGGCTGCCGTCTAGAGTACCGGGCAACCACGACGGCAATATTTGGCCCTGTCAGACTAGTCTTTGCTTCATGTAGCTCGATGGACCGGAGCCTTGACCACGCGCGTGTACAGCTCTGCAACGCGAAGCTTCCGCAGCGCGTGCACGAAGGGGAACGCGAGTGCGCCGTCGAAGAGGCACAAATGTGGACGTCGAAAGATCGCGAGGCTTGATGCCAAGGGACGACAGCAGTCTGATGAGCGGCAACCAAGGTGACCAAACGTTCCGATTCTGTGCGCAAGACAGGTTAGCATTGAGCTCGGGAGCTGGCATGTGCGTGCATTTGAGGTTGCCAAAAGATGTTGGACGCACTGCTGCCAATACAAACTGTCGGTGAAAGGGACAGAAGGGGCTCGACGTTCACAAGGGACGAAGGCAACGCGATTTGTGTTGAGAAGGAAAGAGAACAGGAGCAAAAGGCCAGGCGGGCAGGTCACGAATCACGATTGCGTCGATGGCATCACCTGGCCAAGCTGCAGGAGTTGGTTGCCTATTTAGGCCGTGTCTTGGGCTGCCCCAGTGCTGGGGGGCCCGTCGTCCTCCAGGCGCCAGCCCGGGCATGGAGCCCTGGAGGCCAGTGGGTTGGCCGCCCAGCCCTGGACCGGAGCTCTGGGGCCCGGCACCCGCGTGCCGCCCAAGCCGCCGCACCGCCCCTCCCTAGGTATGCTTAGGTAGGTAGGTGGAGCGGGCCCAGAGGCTCCATGCTTAGGTCTCGCAGGTCAATTAGTAGTGACCAGAGCTGCCCTTGTGCTGCCCCACGCACTGACGCCTGCCCGGGCAACCTTGACCTTCAGCCCTCAAGCATCATGACAGGTCACAGTCATATTCAGGACGCGACAGAAAACTCTACACATTCACGGGACTCGTACTGTACCAGAGCCATGGCAAGTCGTGGTGCTCTTGGGGCTCATGCATCCGAGGACCCTAGGTACACTTCGTTCCATGCCCGCAGACGCACATCATGAGTTGCAAACAGACTCTAACAGTGCTGTAACTACATAGGTACCTACAAGTACTTCCAGTCGCAAGGCCACGTGCAAACCTCACGCCAGCGCCGTCGCCAGCGTCTGTTCCTCCACAGCCAGCCACGCAGGTGGCCACATTCTGCCCTCTGGTTGGACAGCTCTCGTCAGCCCATTTTCTCTCCGCACGCGCACTCCGGTGCGAAGTCGTCTCTTTTCGACCAGTTGCTGAATTTGGTGGGTGTTTGCATGATGAGGGAATGTCGCGCAACAGGCACATGAAATTCTGCGCCGGCTGTATGTGCTTTTCAAGGAGTGCCTCAGGGCCTACAGGAGCGTGTGGTGATCGGCCTAACCCTTCATGGCAGAGCAGCTTTCATCAACCGCCAGCTGACCGCTTGGGCTGTAGCCGTCGTGCCGTAATCCACGTGCTTCGGATTCTTTTGCTGGTGTGACTCTCCTACCTGTAGCTTCGTGTTTGGTTGTTGACGTCCATATTCCGCAACTGAGCTACCTATTGCAGTGTGTTGTTGGCCATGCTCCGTACCTAGTAGTAGTAAATGGGGGCATCCGACTCCGTGTTCAAGGTACTTCATCGAGCAGACGGGTCACGTTATCATGCACGTGCTGGAACTCGGAGGCTCCAAGCTCCGGCGCATCAACTCACGCGTCGCTCTCTCAGTGGGCACCCGCCCGGCCAGCCTGTAACACCTGAGTACCCGGCTACGAAGCACCCATGGCACCACCCCAGACCGGGCAACCTCATCTGCGAAATAATTCCCCACCCTGGGCGGCCAGTCTCTCACCAAGCACGCGCGACGCGTTTCTTGATGCACAGGTGCGCCTTCAAACCACCGACGGCCATCACCCCGCCCCCTTGAAGTGGTATTATGCCCCATTGCGACTGCGGTCTCGACATTGAGCGCGTTTCATTCGAAGCACTCCGACGCGGACAGTGACTGCGCTGTCGCGTTCCAACCCGACAGCCGAGCCGACAACGGTCGCGCAGCCTTCCGAGGGTGGCGCCAACAACGTTGACACACCACCGCTGTCCATCGCGGCCCGCCCCCTCTGGCCTCGCGGTGCATTCACCGAACCCCCTCGACCGATCACGTCCAACGCTAGACTTCGCGCCCGAAGGCGTGGAGTCGCTGTGCTGCCGCGACCATGGGCAAGCTCATCCGCCTTGAGCTCTTCAGTGCGTCTTTGTCCAACCCTTCGCTCCAAGCGTCATCCTCTGCTAACTCCGGCCCAGACTTCAAGTCGTACAAGGGCCACCATACCCTCCTCTTCGGCGACTCATACTTCACCTCCATCATTGGTCCAAATGGATCCGGCAAGTCGAATTCGTAAGTCCCGGCCCCTCTTGGCCGTCCGTGTCGCGTGCGCGCTGACCCGTCCGCTCCAGCATGGATGCCATATCCTTCGTTTTGGGCATCAAGTCGTCTCATCTACGCTCCGCTCATCTCAAGGACCTCGTATATCGTGGCCGTGTGCTGAAGACATCCAAGATCAACGACGACGGGTCTGCCGAGGCGAATGGAGATGCGAACGGGCTGGCAGACACCGACGACAAGGCATCCAGAGGCGATCCGAAGACGGCATGGGTCATGGCTGTATACGAAGACGACGCGGGCGAGGAGCAGAAGTGGAAGCGCGCCATCACCAACCAGGGAGCTAGCGAATACCGCATCAACGACCGCGTCGTCACCGCGCTGCAGTATAACGAGGCCCTGGAGACGGAGAATATCTTGATCAAGGCCCGCAACTTTTTGGTCTTCCAAGGCGATGTGGAAGCGATTGCTTCCCAGTCTCCCCAGGACCTGACCCGCCTCATTGAGCAGATCTCCGGCAGCCTGGAGTACAAGGCCGAGTACGAGAAACTACAAGTAGAGGCTGAGCAGGCCGCCGACAATCAAAACTTCCAGCTGCACAGACGCCGCGGCATCAACTCCGAGATCAAGCAGTATCGCGAACAGAAGAAGGAGGCCGACAGTTTCCAGAGGAAGACGGACGAAAAGGACGCTGCCATCATCACTCAGTGTCTCTGGAAGCTCTATCATTTCCAGAGGGCCATGGATGAGTCCAGTGCTGCCATTCAAGACCACCAAGAGGACCTCAAAGAACTTCGACGCAATATTGAATCCTTTGAGCTTCGTCTCGACGCGGCTCGGAAGGAGCAGAACGCGGCTGGACGCGTCGTGGCCCGAACCGAGAAAGAAATCAAGCTCAAAGAGAGGACAATCGAAGACAGGGAGAATGCACTCGTTCCATTTGACGAAAAAGTCCACGAATCGTCGCAGCAGGTCGACCGGCTGCAGTCTCAGAGCCAGAAGGTGTCCAAGGAACTCGACGAGCAAGCCGACATTGTTCAAAAAGTACAGAAAGATATCGAAAGCGTCGGAAAAGCTCAGGAGGTCTTTGAGAAGGACATCAAGGAGCAGATGAAGAAGCAGGGCAGAGACATCAGCGACGCCGACCGCAGGGAATACAACTTGCTACGGACTCAAGTAATGTCTCGGGCCGGTGCCAATCAAGCGAAACTCGAGAACCTCGAACGGCAGCGCAAGGCAGACGAAGTTACAGTGAACAATCTCAAAGGCAAGGTGGATAGCATATCGGCTTCTATCGAGAAATGCGAGGCCGAGCTGGCTAGCACCGGCGAGAGGCGCAGCGCCGCTGATGCGGCAGCCAAAGAGATCGCAAATGAGATTGCCGGCAAGAAGAAGGAGTTCAACCAGCTCCAATCGGAGCGAGTGCGGACCAATCAAAAGCGAACCGAGCTCGAGGAGAAGCTCGAGGACGTGGCCCGGAAGCTCCGAGAGGCCGACGATGGCCGACGCCAAAACGACCGCGAGACTCGCATGAAGGAGATGGTCACGTCCCTGAAACGCATCTTCCCTGGTGTCCGCGGCCGCATCGGCGATTTGTGTACGCCGAAGCAGAAAAAGTACGACGAAGCTGTCATCGTTGCCCTTGGGAGGGACTTTGACTCGGTCGTCGTGGACACCGAGAAGGCCGCGGTCGACTGCGTCCAGTACCTGAAGGAGCAGCGCTTCGCACCCATGACCTTCATCCCGCTCGACAACGTCAAGGTCAACGCTGTCAACTCTGCCGTGAAGGGCATCTCCGGCGCCAGGCTGACCATTGACACGGTCAACTTTGAAGCCTCTGTGGAGAGAGCTGTCTCGTATGCTTGCGGGAGCTCCGTCGTGTGCGACACGCTCGACATTGCAAAGCACATCTGCTACGAGAGAAAAATTCACGTCAAAGCCGTGACTCTCGAGGGATATGTCATCCACAAGGCCGGACTCATGACGGGTGGCCGAGGTCCAGAGCCCAAGGGGGGTAAACGGCGGTTCGAGGAAGCTGATGTCCAGAACCTGCAGCGCATGGCCGCGAAACTGAGAGACGAAATAGATCGGCTGCCAAAGGCGGATAGACGTGGCACGGTGGAGGAGTCTCTGCAGATCGACTTGGCAGGCTTGGAGCGCCGTCTGGCCGCGACAAAGGAGGAAGCGGCCGCGTTCAACCATAACTGGACTAGCAAGAAACGTGAACTGGACAGCCACAAGAAGCAGCTTCGGGAGCTCCAGCCAAAGTACAAGGAGCAGACGTCCCAGCTGGACAGCACGAGAGAGACGGTGCAGGAGTTCCAGGATGCCATTGCGCGCGTGGAGGACCAGGTGTTCGTTGACTTTTGCAGACGACTTGGATACAGTGATATCCGTGCGTACGAAGCATCCCAGGGCAAATTTGAGCAAGAGGTGTCGGAGCGGCGAAGCCAGTTCGAGGTCCAGAAGCAGCGGTTGGAGAGCCGCCTCAAATGGGAGGTTGCACGCCACAATGACACGGAGGCGCGAATTCGACGGATGCAGGAGCAAATTCGGCGACTCAAGCAGGACATCAGGTCCTACGTCAAGGAGAAGTCGAACATCGAGGCAGCGATGCGCCAAGAACAAGACGAACTGGAGGCACTCCGTGAAACGCTGGAGGAGCATAAGGCTGATCTGGTGGAGAGGAATCAGGCCGTCAGCGAAGCGCGAGCCGAGCTCCAGAGGCGCAGCAAAGACATCGAAGCGCGACAGCGGGACATCAATGCTCTGGAGACGACAGTCCAGAAGAATAGCGCCAGCAAGTCAGGTCTGCTGCGGAGATGTCGGTTGGAGCAGATTCAGATTCCCCTTGTTGAGGGTACACTCGATAACCTGCCCAACGAGGATGACTTGCTTCGACAAGACCCCGACGCGATGGATGTGGACGGCGAGGACGAGGAGATGATGGACATTGCTCTTGACGACCACGGCATCGAGATCGACTTCGACGGCCTGGGCGACGACCTGAAAGAGGTAAGTAATCTACAGCGGGACTTGGGTACCTTTCCCCAACCGGGTGCTGACGTGGTGCAGTCCGATGACGCGAGCGTCGAGGACAGCTTGATGGAGAAAATCGCGGCCCTGACTGCGGAGCTGGAGAAGCTCAACCCCAACATGCGAGCAATGGAGCGACTGGAGAGCGTCGAAACGCGGCTGAAGCAAACTGATCAGGAGTACGAGGACTCCAAGACAGCGGCGCACGCTGCCAAGGAGGCATTCAACAACATCAAGCAGCGGAGGTACGATCTGTTCAACAAAGCATTCACGCACATCCAGGACCAGATATCGCATGTCTACAAGGATCTTACCCGCTCCGAGGCATACCCCTTGGGTGGCCAGGCCTACCTGGACATCGAGGAGGACACGGACATGCCATACCTGTCGGGCATCAAATACCACGCCATGCCTCCGCTGAAGCGTTTCCGGGACATGGAGCACCTGTCCGGAGGAGAGAAGACGATGGCGGCGCTGGCGCTCCTCTTCGCGATCCACAGCTATCAGCCCAGCCCTTTTTTTGTGCTGGATGAGGTTGATGCTGCTCTCGACAACGCCAATGTGGACAAGATCAAGAAGTACATCCGCGAGCACGCGGGTCCTGGGATGCAATTCATTGTCATCAGCCTCAAGACAGGCTTGTTCCAAGACTCGGAAAGCCTGGTTGGAGTCTACCGGGATCAAGAAGTGAACAGCTCGAGGACGCTAACACTCGACGTAAGTCCCGCCACATTCGAGCAGTCGTCTTTGTCATTTGTGCTAACAAAGTATCCACAGCTACGCAAATATGCCTGAGGGTCTCATGATGGCGTTGCTTGGTGCTGAGACATAAAGCGACGTATGACGGTAGATGATGGCGGAACGGGATGGGGGTGATGGTTCGCCCATGGGATGTTGTAACGCGTATAGCGAAGGTCTCTTCGTGGTTGGGTGGCAATGGGCGCAGGCATTGTTTAGGGCGGCGCACGATGGTCGAGGCGCCTTGCCTCGAGGACTGGGATGTGCTTTAGATTTGATTGACCGCCATAGCTTAGGAAACTCGGTATCGCTGGCGAACTCGTTGCTGCGTCGCGGCGTTTTTGCTTCGTCCGTCACGAGATTGTGTTGTGAAGTTCAGGCGATCTGGGAAAGCAGGGGCATGGCACCCAAGGAAAATGAGGCCATTGTCGTGAAGGTTCACCCTCTTCAGCTTGTGACACCTGTCGGTGCCTGCGACGCGGATTTCAATGTATTCTTCTCATGGGCGTTGAAAGCGTGGTCCGGATGCCATTGTAAGTGCCGATTTCCCGCCTTAGGTAATAAAGCGGATTTGGCACTTGCGGCGCGACCGTAAGGTTTGCTCCGGCTCGCCAGACCACTTCGCCCGTCCTCCTCTCACCAACAAATTTTCCCCTGCGCGTTCAACCTCGACATTGTGCCTCGCTCTGGAACAGGGTGAAGCTTGGGCTGCGACTCTACGGCGACTCCGACGAACCGTGCACGAGATTGGCCGCGCCACAACGCAAGCGCTCAGCGGCAGGCAAAGGACGCCGATATACCCTGCATGTTCGACCGGTGACGAGGCTGCAGCCTGATGCGATGCTTGGCTCGCGTCATCGCTGAACAGCAGCCCCTTACTGCTCTCTGCAAATAAAACGCCTTCCCGCGAGACGGCGAGACCAGTATCCTGCTCTACGCCATAGACAGCTTCGCCCGACGCGCCAGTGGCCTGGGAGCGGCGCTGCTCTTGATCGAGCGTCCTGAAGGGGCAGGTCTCGCGTCCCCTGCGGAGGCTTCGTCGCCATGGATCTCGCCGTAACGTTGATAAAGTCGGTCATGCGGGCCTTCTACCAGACGCGCGACATTCTTGTAGTCGATGCTCTGATTCTTCACGAGGCGTACGGTTCACGATCCATGGTGTTGGGTTCAGGTCTCGAGACATGCTGACTGGCGCGAGCGCAGCCTTCGCGACGACGACCTGGCCTACCTCATGGCCATCAACACAAAGGATCTTCACAAGATCTGTGGCAAGCTACGGGAGGACCGTTTCCTTGCAGTGTACGTGTCCCATGCTCCTCTTTGGCTCCCGGCGGCGTACCTTGCCCTTGTCGCCTGCAGATTGAACTGACCGGGTGGCAGACACACGAGGCAAGAACTGCGCGAAGGCAATCCGCGGCCGAGCAACCGAACATGGTACTACATTAACTACCGACACACTATCGACGCCATAAAATGGCGGGTATACAACATCGATAAGGAGGTCCAGGGGAGCACGATGCCGGCCAACGAGAAAAAGGAATACTTCTGCACCTTTTGCAAAGCCGAGTGGACTGCCATGGAGGTGCTCGACAGCGTCGGGCCCGAGGGCTTCAAATGCCATCGCTGCGGCCACATCCTAACGTTCGAGGCGGACCGCAACTCGGGAGGCCACGAGCAGTCGACCCGCCTCAATGACCAGTTCAAGTTCATCAGCGAGCTGCTGCCCAAGATCGACGCAGTACACATCCCTGTCTGCGACTTCGACCGAGCGTTGTCCAAGGCGCGCCCGGTGATTCGGGACGCAACACATCAACGCGCGGCGACGATACCCGTCGACGTCGGTGCAAACAGACCCATGGCTGTCAAGGGCCTAACAAACACAGGCCCGCAGTCCATCGCCGTAAACATCTCCACGTCAGCCGGTCCGTCGGAGGTCGAGAAGGAGGCGGAGCGGCTTCGCAAGGAGAAGATCGCGCAGCAGAACGCGCTGCCGTCGTGGATGTCCAACAGCACAGTCACGGGCGAGTCCTTCTCGGGCACCGTGGCGACGGACACAGCGGCCATCAAGAGAGAGGTGGCCGAAGACGCTGCTGCGGGCAAGGCAGAGGACGGCAACACCAGCGCTCGTATCGACGACATTTTCGCAAAACTCAAGGCAGAGCAGGAGGCTGAGCTGGCAAGAGTGGTGGATGATGACGAAGACGACGAGTTCGGCTCGGAGGAAGACGGCGAAGACGAATTCGAGGACGTACCGCCGACGGGCAACAACTCAGGCCTGGGCACACCGGGGCTGGTCGGTCTGAAGCGGGAGGCGTCGGACGGCATCTCGAGCGAACAGGACAGCGCTGAGGAGAGGATGTCCAAGAGGGTCAAGGTTGAGACGCAGGGAGAGGCCGGCCAGGGTGTGGTGGGGGGTGCCAAGGCGGGAACAGGGGACAGCAAGGCTGGCGATGAGGACGACGAAGGGGATGGTGCAGAGGATGAGGAAGAGCTTGAGTTTGAGGATGTCTAGGCCTCGATCAAGGAGGATTCACGACACCGCTCGGCTCTGGTTTGGCGCATCGGCTGTGTCTTCTTGCCGTCCTTCAGACGAGAACGTGGTGCTCGTCGACCGGCCTTTGGAGGAGGTCCTTGAGATAGAATCAATCTGCCACATGGCCAAGTGTCGCGGTATGTCGGGTACAGAGGAGCTGTACATTTTGGATAACCCTTGGGGGCGGCCGGCCCTTTGCCGCGTCGCAAATACAGCCATACCTACGATTGACGGCAAACGTCTGCCTGGCTGTGGCCCCGTTCGGCGGACGGGTTGCGAGGGAGGTGCTGACCAGACGCGCCTCGTAATTCGTGCGACGTGACGGTGAATGACGAACGATGGAGGCGCCACCGTCAAGACCGGCCACTACTAGCAAACGCACGTTGGCAACCTTCTCGTACTTCGTACTGAACGGCACAGAGGGCAAGACCCCATGCCTCGCTGTTGTCACACAGCACCACCTGGCACTGTCCGGTCCGTAAGGCGTCCGGATGACAGTGTCCACACGCCGAAACGTCGTCGGGCCAAATCTGCTCTCGCGAACCAAATTCCTCAGCCTCCGAATAGCCTCGACCCTGCACTCGACTACGTAACCTGGCCTCACCGAAAGCCCATCGCCACACGGCCTCGATTGAGCCCAGAGGACATTGTGGGCGCTTAGGCCATTCGCCAACGCAGGTTGGCTGTCTCGAGCCCGCGCGGTCAGGTCCATCGTCGCGACTCGCGAAATCGACCTGGGCGCCGCCGGCTCGGAACTCGCCCCCCATCCTCTGTTTCCGACCCCAGACATGAGGCCGCTGCGCAGCTGCCTTCTCGGCACGCGTCAACGGCCCCGCTTCGGTCACCACCTCACGGCGTGAACTTCGCCGCCCGCAAGGATGCCTCTCGACTTCCCGCCGATATTCCTCCTCCCCACTCACCTGCAGCCCGACGACCTCCACCGCCTAGAGGCCAGCATACCCTCCCTGACGTACGACATCCACGAGGCCCAGGTGGTCCTCGGCAACATATCGCGGACCCAGCGCGCCCGGTTTGAGCTGAGACGGCTCAAGGTTGACACGGAGACGGTCGAGGACGCAGGGGCTGGCGACGGCGACGGCGACGGCACAGGACGGGCCATAGCTTCAGAGCCGTTTCCAGAGACGAGTGGCGCTGCTGGTGCTACGGCTCACGCCCAGCATGGCGAGCCGAGTCCCAAGCGGCGCAAGCTGTCCGTGTCGCATGGCCAACCGAGCCGCAGCCACGGCGGCAAAGCCCAGGGTGAAATCATTTACGTGCTGCGGCTCGCGTGGTTCGAAGACAGTGTGAAGCAGAATCGTTTGCTACCAAAGGACAGTTACATGGTCTACCGAGGGCGCAAGCTCGCGTCTGTCGGAGGACAACGCAAGACGGCGACGGCGACGACGACGGTAAAGTCCCCGAGGCCATCGCCCGCAGCCGCGACCAAGGACATCCTCAGACGCGCCGCCGGGGATCAAAGAGCAGCAGGCGGAGGGCGACCTCCCAGCAGCCATGGCCATCCGCACAATCCGCCGTCTCTCGTCCGTCAGACGACGTCCGAGCACGACGTCCCGCTACCGCCGATACCTGACTACCTGCACTCGACATACTCGTGTCAGCGCCCAACACCCTTCAACTCACTCAATGGGCCCTTTATAGAGGAGCTGAAAAACATCCGGACCCTACGCCTGCTCCAGGGCGACCAGATTGGCGTTCGCGCGTACTCGACAGCCGTTGCCACACTGGCCGCCTATCCCTATGAGCTCCAGGTCCCGCAAGGTAAGCGCCATGCCGCGGAAACCCGATGCCGCTCTCGCAGCGCCCCTAAGCTGAGACGCGCGCACGCGGACTGCAGAAATTGAGAGGCTGCCCGGGTGCGGTGCTAAGTTCGCCGGACTGTACGGGGAGTGGCGGCAGACTGGGCAGACCAAGGAAACGGCCGACGCGGCCTTGGACCCCAGACTGACCGTTCTCAAACTCTTTTACGACATCTGGGGCGTGGGTGATACCACCGCCCGCGAATTCTACCGCAAAGGTTCGAGGCTTGTCTCCGGGGATGGGTGCGTTGCGGAAAGGGGAACACACCAAGGCGCTGACCGGACACAGGGTGGAGAGACCTGGACGACATCATCACGTACGGCTGGGACTCACTGAGCAGGGTGCAGCAGATAGGGGTCAAGTTTTACGACGAGCTGCTCCTCAAGATCCCGCGGCAGGAAGTCGAGACTATTGCAGGCGTGATCCTGTCGCACGCGAGGCAGATCGATGCCGGGTTCGAACTGGCGATTGTGGGCGGGTACAGGCGGGGCAAGAAACAGAGCGGCGACGTGGACGTGGTCATCAGCCATCGGGACGAGGAGAAGACGCTCAACGCGGTGGACAAGATCGTCCGGAGCATGGAGGACAATTTCATCACGCACACGCTCAGCCTGTGGACGAGAAACAGCGAGCGCGGCCAACTCCCGCTGCCGTGGCAAGGGCAGGCGGCAGGGCGCGGAGGAGGATTCGACACGCTCGACAAGGCCATGGTCGTGTGGCAGGACGTGGCGCGCCTGAAGGCCAACGGCGAGGGGGGCACGGAGCCGCCGCCGCCGCACCGGCGCGTGGACATCATCGTCAGCCCGTGGAAGACGGTGGGCTGCGCACTGCTGGGGTGGAGCGGGGGCACGACGTTCCAGCGCGACCTGCGGCGGTACTGCAAGCGGGAGAGGGGCCTCAAGTTTGACAGCAGCGGGATCCGGAGGCGCGCCGACGGCGAGTGGATGGACCTCGAGAGCCGCCGGCGCGGAGGCTCCGGCCCCGCGGAGCCGGCGCCGGACATGGAGACGGCCGAGAAGCGGGTCTTTGAGGGCCTGGGGCTGGTGTGGCGGCCGCCCGAGGAGAGGTGCACGGGCTAATAACCTGGAAGTACGTCGAGGCGACGGGCGGGCTGGACGCGTTTCCTCTTGCTGCCGTCGTGTGGCCGGGCGCAAGTGCTTGCTCGGCGCCGTGGGCCATGATGACGCCCAGGACGCTTACGCCCGGGCGGCGGCCGTGAAAGACGGGGGTTTCCTGTAGCAGTACCAATACGACGTCACGACCAATGCATGGTTAGAAGACATCAAAGCACTGGTGAGGCCGTCGAGCCGCGTCCACCAGCAGTCGTCGCGTTAGCCGTGGTGCGAGTTCCGAAACCCGTGCCGCCTGGCAAAACGCCACGCCCGTCGGAGGGACCCGACTGCCCGACCGGCAGCCCAAACGTCCCGCCGCGGGCCAGGGAGTGGAAGCTGCCCCCCCGGTGCTCGCTGGGTTCGTTTCGTCAGCGGAGTTGGTGCCTGGCAAAAGGTGCGCGAATGTACTACGTAGTCAACACCGGGGGCTTGCGGGCCAACACTGAGGATGCCGGTCTGCGTGGGGTCGTGCCGGTGGCTGCTGCGAGCGATGCACGCCGACGACCCGGAGGAGGTGTGTGGCCGCCGAGAGCGCCGATGATGATGACGATGATGATGATGACGATGATGTCGGGCATGGGCGGCTGCTGTCGACAACTGCCCAACAACAAACACATAACAACGCGCTCCGTAGAAACCAAAACTCTGGGGGCGCCCGTCCGCCCCCCACTGCGCCAGCTCGACAGGCAGCTGGTCCGAGGAGACTGGATTGAGGTAGTTGCTGGCCGTGGGTCGTCGGTGCGTGTCATTTCATCTCCATCGAAAAGGGGGGCCTGCGGGCGGGAACTTGGGAGGGGCCGCACATTTGTCGTCGCGTATTCTCCGCCTTCTCCGCAGGTACCTGTCCCGCCCAAGCAGTCGCCTGCCTGCCATGCCATGCCACGCCATGCCATGCCAAGCGCTGCCCTCCATCCCTCCTCGATCGGCGGCGCTCGAGTGGCGGCACGCGTCGGGGTCCAAGGGCAATGGCGAGGCGAATCCCGGGCCGTCGCCAGGCCCTGCATGGCATGCATCAAGGCTGCGACCAGGGTGACGCACTTGCTGGCAGCAGCAAGGGGAGGACAACATGGCTTTTTTGAATTGGCAACTCCGTGAGACACCAATTGACCGGCGGCGGGCGCCATCATGAAGCAGCACCAGCAAGGCGCCAAAAGTCCGCTCGCGGTGGATTGAGCGACGAGAGTTAGCAGCTACCTACCAACCTGGAAGGGAGTAGGTAGCTTTGGCGCGCTGGCGCGGCCCCGTCCATCAGTGGAGGTCCGGCGCAGAGCAGGGTGAAACCGCGCCCCGGACATCGTCGACC